CCCCCCCCCCACCTTTTAGTTCTGAGAACTGAGATCAATTCCTAAAAGAAAAAAATTAAAGCATCATTAAAACACACAGAGCAATCCTCTGGAAAATACTGTCAGACTATCAGAAGCAGAAAAAAAAAATATGTGGCCTTGAAGAACTGTGAGCCCATACCTTTACAATTTCTCCACAATTATTTCTATATTATTTCTATCATTTCACAGTATTCTACATGTTCTAAAGACTTGTCTTAAAAAACAGATTTTACCTTTGTTTCAGTTCAGTGAAAACAAAGGAAATGATTACAATGTTGACCTCTTTAACCCATGTGTCAAATCAAGAAAACAAATAACAATAGCAAGGATATAAACATTCATTCCATTCACCTCCATGAGATGTGAACATCAAAACTGTACTGAGGTGTTTTGAGTAATGGCATGGTATTGTGGACAAAGCATAGCCAATATGTTCTCTCTCTCTCTCTCTCTCTCTCTCTCTCTCTCTCTGTGCTCCCATTTTTCTTTGCAAGAAATCAAGACAATTACATGAGAAATTTCACACTTACATAATGTTGAAGTTACACAACTACAGAAATAAGAGATGAAAAAACTGGGGCTCCTACTGTTTCATTAAATCAGCTTCTTAAATACCCAGTAATTCTTAACAAGTATATTTAATAATATATTCATCAAGATATTGAATGACATACATTTAACAGGAAAAAAGCACTGGAAAATAAATATTTGAAATTTGGAAGAGTTGGATTGGTTGAAACGTATCTATTTCTCAATAATGTATGAATTTCCTAAGGATGGAGGTGAATGAATTAAGCAATACATGCACCAATTTAAAATTCCTAACTACTTCCTTTCTTGCAAAGAATGTACATCTAGCCTTAGTAATAGCCAATAGCTCGGTATTATGATCCAGATTCAAGCTTTGAATTAAAACACTAAAAAACAGTTTTGAAATACCATATTATTGAAATGCATCAGCTTTAGATGTTTATGGATCAGTGTCCTATTCTTGCATTCTTTACGTCTGGAATAAAACTAGGGATGCCAGAGATAAACCAAGGAATCAGTGTTTGGATCTGGATTAAATCTATAATTATGTTGGGTGTGCCTGCACATTTACTAATGTAATTACCGCTAATTCTACTGCACATTAGCTCATGTTTTGTCTGCTAATTAATCTACTGCACCTTTAGTGTCTCATGTAGATGTGCCTGTTCATACTGAAGTCTGTACCAGGTCTAGGCATCAGTTTCCAGTGGTCCTCTGGTTTTAGTGAGATTTCTTCCCCAAATATTGGATGTTACATGATAGTAGATGTTTAGTGAGTTTTTTTTAAAGATAAATAGTGTAAATTAAGAAAATATACTGTTTTTGTAGGATTTCCTTCATTGTGGGACATTTTAGGAAGTAGGTCTCTTCCAGATTCAGATAAAACTCAGACCCAAAACCAGGAGGAAACAGGGGATCTGGGGAATTTGAAACCTAGTAACCAGAAATCTGAGGGATCAGATTTATAGTGCAAATGAGATTGTCTTTGTACATAAATCAGTGTGAATTATGTTGATGATTCCTACTCCAGTACGTGAACATAGGGAAGGGATTTTTCTAAGACGTGGTTCGCTCTTTGTCTAGTGGAGTAGAGGTTACTAACTGTATGCTGTGGATCTGCAAAGTATGATTTAATATACAGGTTTCTAAACTTTGAGAATTTTACTTTATAGTCTGTTAGATGGAAGGACATGAAGTAAACTGAGGGTCACAAATTAGGAGAATATACACCCATTTTGGAATATGTATCATTTTTAAAGTTGAGAAATATATTAATTTGTCATGGTACATGCCCAAATCTAATAAGCTAGATATTTGTGAATAGAAGAACTGTACATTAGAGGACCTGAGACTGATGAAAGTGCAGTTGTTTTCAAGCTTTCCCTGCAGAACAGTGCTTTGGCCTTGGTTCTCATTCTTATCACCAATGAAATTAGAGCATCCAGTGACAGAGATCTAAATGGTGGTGTAGTCTCATTAAAGAAAACTTAATTCATCCACAGTGTAACAGGACATAATCCTCAAAGTCTCATCTTGTTCTTGTTTCTCCCCAGCTTGATCACTATCCTCCAGCACGTTACAACTTGCCGACAGCATCTGACGTTCAGTTCAACTCCCTGAAGGCACTCTTCCTTGGAAAAGTTATAGGTAGCATTTCACTTTATAATTTTTTTTATTAGACATTTTCAGAAAATATAAAAAGCATGTGAAATTGTAATGTCAGCGTTGTCTGTAGTTATAATGCTTATTGGATATCTCGTATTTGATTGGGAAACAGTGTTGTTGGAAGCTGTATGCTTGCATCATACTTCAGGTATGCAGTGCAAAGTTGTTATTGCAAAGGGCAAGAGACATATAACCAGGTAGCACACTGGACTATGACTAATGCACATGGTATAGAAATCAAATATGAAATACTTAGATGATTTCATTTGGGATATTATATCCAGATTTTCTGGAGAATCGGTGAGACCACTACTGCTGGCCTCCAGCCACATGAGTCAGAAACTCCAGTTTTTTAAGGCATCTATGTCCCACACCCAGAGTGTCAACATCCTTTCTACAGGATTTCCCCTCCCTCCAGAGCTTCTCTTTGGTCCCACTTTTCTTTCAGAGCTGCAACACTTTTCCTTGGGTCTTCCAGCAGAACCCAGAAACCAAATGCAACTTAGGCTACATCAGCTGCCCTGCACTCACTTTGAGGGTAGCCTATATTCCCCCTTCTGACAGGGAACCGTAACCCTGTCACAAGGAAGAAGGTGCACCCCTATAAGGCCAGAACCTTCTGGGTATGGAGGGCTGGTGAGGAAGGGGTTACTTGCTGAACTGGGGTGGCTAGTCAGCTGACCAGAAGAGGCAGAACTATAAAAACCCTGGGTTGAACAGCAGTAGGGAGGTCAGCAGCCAAAGGGAAAGCAGTCCCCCTGAGAGCTCCAAGAAGAAGCTTGGGCAGCATTCCATGGCAAGAAAGGGGAAGTTACGGAAGTCCCTGCGAGATGACGACTGCATCCACAACCAGGACTGTAGCCAGCGGTATGGAGCCAAGACTTGAAGAGAGTTCATGTAAGCTGACCCGCTGGGTTGATTGAGCACGTAGTTATTACTATTATTATTATTATTTTTTGTGATTATTGAATAAGACCGGTGGTTTGGGAGAGGCTATTAGGGGATGGAGAAGACCTCATTTTCAGGACCCTCTACAGAGTGGGTACCCTGGCACCAGTGAGGGCACAGCCTTTGGAGGCACAGACCCCGGCGCCAGTGAGGGTGCAGTTCTTTGGGGCAGATGCCGGCACCAGTGAGGGTGCAGCTTTTGGGGGACTCGAACCCTGGTATTTGAAGGACTATTTTAAAGGGGCTGGGTGAGGACTGGAGCACCGGGGTGCGGTTGTGTTTTGTCTTTTGGGGGGTTTTTTGTTTGCACTGACGGAGGCGGGTTGTGTTGGACCCACAGCCCACTGGTTGTGGGTCCAGCTCCCATGCCTCTGGGCTGGGGAGTACCAGGCTCCATAAGGGAGCAGGAAAAGCTAGAGCCTCGGAGTCAAACCCTGTTTAATGGGTTCGGATGGGGAGGCCTAGCCAGAGAAAACAGTGGTCAAGCCATAATGGGCAGTCTCCCACTCAAAAAAAATTAATATTCCATCAAGATGTGGCAGGCAAGGTTAGAGCGGAACTGAAGAATTACAGAGCAGGCCCCAAGGGCGCCCCATGTAAGGCATAGATGACCAGGAAGATCACACCGGGGAAGGCGACCTGTCACACCTCTTCTCCATTCTTTCCTAAAACCCTGACTTACTGGACTGCCTCCCTGAAGTCTTGCTCATGTTTCAAAGGCCAAACATTACTGGAGACAACTTCACTCTTGTCACTTCTTCATGATACCCTTTACCAGGGAGAGTGAGCACCTATCAGCATGCATACTCATGTCCTCTTTCACAGTTCAGAAGGAAAACTAAGACCTCTTCCCCATGGAGGCAGCTCTATTCTCCTCTCTTCTGGATATGAACTCAGTCCTTTATAGCAACCACCAAGCCTTCTCCTCACCTGGATCTGACAGTGAATAGAGCCCACACAATCCTTCAGATGCAACAAAGTGGGATAATTGAGCTTTCCAGTTCCTATGAACCTGTTCTTTTCCTATGTAAGTTCTGTCAGAACTCACAAATGACCTAGTGAATATACTCTCAATGTCTTTGAGTCAGGTGAATATATTTTATAAGGATGTACTTGCACACAATTGTTTGGAGCAAAGTGAATAGGCAAATTCAGACCATGGTGAACTCTGTGCAAAACTATAACATGGTGATAACCTGAGTGAAAAGATATAGCCAAAAAAGGGAACCTGTATGCAAGTTTCTTGTAGGTACCCATGGATGGATCCAGGATTTTGTAAAGGGAATACAGGAGCAGTGACTTGTACTGCAGGGGTGGCTAAACCCCCACTCCTAGCTGCTACCCCCACAACTCTAGAAAAGGCAGACTCCACTGCAGGAGCAACAGCCGTGGATTTTTTAAGTCCCCAAATCATATAAGAATTCCACCGTGCCCACACTGTCATTGCCTCCTCCCTTTTTCTCCGTGCTTAGTGCTACATCCCTCCCCTCCCATTCCTCCAGTCCCCTGCTCGCCACTGCTACTATTCCTAGATGAGCCAGGGACCAGGAGCGCTCCAGAGCTACACCTGCCTCACTCCATCTGGGCTGCATGAGGAGCTGGTCTCAAACACAGGCAGCGGCAGCGGTGAGTTGGGTCCCCATCATTAAGCCTGCCCATGGCTTCACCACCCCCAGCTCAGCTGGGGACACGGGGGACAGCAGCAGGCAGAAGAAGGAGGGAAGGGGATGTGCCACTGAGCAAAGAGGGGAAGGGAAGAGAATTCTTACCTGTTTCAGGGGCTTAAAAAAAAGTCCCTGGCTGCTGCTCCCACCACATGGTCCAAAGGGGAGGGTGTGGCCTGTATATGTTTGTATCATTCATAACCTAATATTCTGAAAAGGCTGATACAAAGAAGGTCCTTTAAACATTAGATCACATATTGCTTAGGGACCAAGATAAAGGTTTGGGGGGAAGGTGCTCAGATTTCTGAAGAGGAAAAGCAATCAGCTGTAGAGCAAATGGGACTTTTTAAAGAATACAATCTTTTAATATGCTTTGTTCTTATGCTAATTTGTTTTGTGAATTTATCTGAATTAGAACGCCATTATAAAGTTTAGCTTGGCTTGAATCAAATTAAAGCTAATATTGGAGTCAAATAGAAGCCTCAGGGCTTTTCTGTGATTTTTTTTTTTTAATTCTTCTGCTCTGAGGTGTCAGTGAAATAGAATAAAAAGTTTGTCAGTATAACTATGTGGCAGGAAATGGAATATGACTGATGCTTTTGACATTCAGCCAAATAAACACAGTGGGTGTGTCAACACGAAACAATTTACTGCACAGTAGTGTAGTTTACTATGCAGTAAGCATGTGCGAGTACACATGCACATGCTTACTGTGCAGTAAACCTCACTAATTGTGAGTACATTAGCTACCTGCAAATACACATAGCAAATTTATTTGTAATTACTTACTGCACAGTAGTGCTCATGTAGACACCTGACAAGGAGCAAATCTGCTCCTGGTCAGCCAGCCACCAGGGGACAGGAATTTGCTCCTTGCCTCGGAAGCTGCCTGCTGTCGGGGTGGGCTCCATCGCTGGTGGCTGTGCAAGGGACTATGTCCCCCTGCCCTGGCAACAGGGAGCTCCAAGCAATCAGGGATCAGAGGCTGAGAGATCCTTATCTCCTAGTGCCAGCTCCAGCGCCATGACCACAGGGTCAGCACTGAGAGATCTTTATCTCCCAGCCTGAGCCCTGCAACTCCAGAGCTGGTGCTGGGCACTTCCTGCTGGCAGGGGCTAGGGAACCCAGCTGCACAATTGTGGAGCTGTATTGGGGACAGGCTGGGGAGCTTGTTCTCTACCCAGCATTATGATCATGGAGCTGAGTGGGGAATAGGCTCTCCAGCTCCTGCCCTGCCATTGCGGAGTGTGGGCTGGGAACTGTGCCAGTCATGGGCAGGTCCCAGCCCCAAGTCCCAATGTGGTGATTGAGGCACAGGGCTTGGAGAGAGCTGTAGGGCTGGGATAGGTCCCATTTCCCTTCCCCAATCTGCTGATTGGAGCACCTAGCAGTGAGCTAGCTGCTAACTGCCCCACTGGAAAATTGGAGCAGGGGGATGGGACTTGCCCCTCCCCTGCAGCTCTTTCCAAGTCCCCTGCCCCTGATCAGAGAGCCAAGACCAGGACCTCTCTGCTGACAGGGCAGGAGGACACTGTCCCCATCCTGGCAGCAGGCAGCCCTCTGTGGCAGGGCACAATGTCCAGCACTATCTTCCAGGAGACAGCTGTCCTGGACTCAGTGCTCTCTGCCAGTCCCTGGACTAGCACCCAGGGGAAGCCTAGAACTCCCCCCTGGTGGTGGCAGGGACCCATTGCAGGGCCTCAGGAAGTGGGAGCAGTTTGCTGCCATTAGCAGCAAATCAGCTGCCACTTCTCTGCATGTGTGGATGCCTGCCTAGGGGCACTGACTCATGAGTACTTGACTCACAAGAAAACTGCTCCTGGATCTAATGCACGTGTAGACACACCCCGTGGGCATGTCTACACATGTAAACTACTTGGCAGTAAATGCTCCTGGGCAGATGTCTACACATACAGGGACAAGGCAGCAGATTTGCTGCTCTTAGCACCAAAGTTCCTGCAGCCCTGCAATGGGCCCTTGCCACCACCAGGTGAAGCTCCAGGCTCTGGCAGCAGCTGCCAGCAGGTGCCAGCCCTCTTGAAAAGCCAGTGCTGCCTCTGCTATGGAGCTGCTGCCTGGACCCCATCTGGCTAGCCAGACCTAGCAGTGACACCAATGATGGGCTCCTGGACCCCACCACTGGAGCTGCCCTTGCCCCCTGGGCCTTCAGCTCTGCCACCATTGGGACCTCCTGGAGCAGCTCCACCTGCACGTAGAGTGGCAGGACACTGCCATGCAGCTATTTCTCCCTATGGACACCCACCTGGCCCTTGCCCTATTCAGTCTGGCCATGCCAACCAGCCTTTGCCTTGTGGGCCATCTTTTATGTCAGCAAGGCCACAATGATGGAGGGCATCCTGCAGGTATGCA